AATTGTGGTGTGTGACCTAGCACCTATAGTACATTGCGATAAAATAATGTCGATGATGAACCTCATGGAGGATGAATGCGCATGTACCGCGCCGAAAGATTAGCGCCTGCAGGCCGGTTGAAGTACATTAAGGTTGCCAATACAAGCGAAGATACGTGTCCCAGGAAGCAATTGAGAAGAAGACTCGATCGCTAGGACAATATTTTTATTCGCCTGACGTTTGGACATCCGTTTTTGATTCATCATCAGAAACATGAAGAGACCCGTTTCTGCTACTCTTTACTATTCATGTCTCTGATAATGAATCCGCGACGGATGTCGAAACGTCAGGCGAATAAGCATATTGTTCCAGTGATCGAGTCTTCTTCTTCTCTACGTTAAGACTTATAAAATGCCCGCTCTAAAATTTACATGTAGAAAGCATTCTTAAAAATTCGTTGGGCTAACTTATGAAATCCAAAGATTTTTACAAGAAAACCCCCGTTACGCAGACACAGTTCATCTTGCGTCTCCCAAGGTCCTACAACAGTAACGTAATTGTCGTTCTTCAAAATAGGGAGTATTAAGATTTACCAAATAAGGTTACTTTGTTTAGAAATACCAGCCTTTTTAAGAAAAGCGGAAAATTCGAAAAAGTGGAAATCACGTGTACTAGGTAAACTTAAGTTTTACATATAGAGAAAGCCTGTTCTTGGATAAAAAACAAGTGAATAAAGCAGAACAAGTAGCATTTTGTTTGACAGTAATTATTTTGCAAAATTTTCTGATCCAAATACTTCCATATTACGTGCAATGTAACATATGTCCCTTACCGAACAGCCCAAATTTCGAGTAGGTATTCCATCACGGTTTCACGAGAAATGCTAGTTGTTTCTTTCATTTATGCATTGCTTGAGTTAAGCTGGACTAAGGTAACCATATTTTCGCTTGATTTGGCCCATTGGAAGATCACAAGTGTAAGATATTTCGTAAGCTCACGTGCGGAAATGCCGGTCAATTACTAATATATTGTCAGGTGCAATCGCCAACTTACAATTTTTCTCTACAATGAGATAAATTTCTTTCGTCGCATTTCTTTGTAATTATTTCGGGATTTCGATTACGACAATGTTCAGATCATTCTTGAAATTGTAGATAACAATATACAATTTTCAATGTTTTCGGTCGATTGTTCGTAAATAAGGACTATATTCTAGGTGCTTATCAAAACTATAAATATAAGATATTTCTTGAACGCATTTACTTAAGTAGTGAGTTTTTGGGCATTCCATATAACTCACCTGTCTGTATGGGTTATGGTTTTAGAATCAGCCAAATATATCAGCTCATTGTTGAGAAGACTTAAAGTCTGCAAGAAAAGTCAGATACTAGTATGCCCCCCAGAGCAATTAGAAAACATTCCCTAGCAAGTAACCTCTTGTAATAACACTTTACTTAGATATTTCGGCGTCAGTTGCCTGCATAATTTATTTTTTTTGAAGAGTAATCAAGATAAGGAAGACAAAGTTTGACTTCCCTGAGCATTATGAATGAATCTCATGCTCGAAAAATTAAGAAATCGCTTTTCGGTACATACTGGAGCAGTTTTCAGTGTACTTCTTTACTTTTAGGCCCTGTTTTAGGATTTCAAAGGCACAACGGAGTGGCAGAATATATACTAAGATTTTGGGAAAATTGAGAATCTTCTGCTAGTTCCTTTTAAAATCTCCCCATTCATTAATTCTGAACTGTAGATAGAAAACGTTTGGACATCTTTTTCACATAGCCTGACAAAGAACAGTGACGGCATGTCTCGGGTGTTCATCTACAGGCTTGTTTACGGTCGTTATTTTCAGTGTTTTAAAACAAATGAAAGCCATATAAGTTTATTGCTTAATTTAATGTCGCAAAACGCAGCAGATGTGCAAAATGGAACTCTTTAAACTGAATCCAGTCTTCTTTTCCCGGCAGTCATGTGGTATCTCATACTTGCACTAACTTCAGTTGTATTAACGCAAAACAAAACTTTATTTTCTTTGAACAGATATAATGAGAGGGTTTCTGGCCTTCATTAACCTATTACCTCTCGGTGATCTCAAATGAGATCACTCAAAAACTAAGAGCTTTCGTAATTATCTGTCTGTATATACGCATATTTAACCTTCATGCTATATCTATTAGGTATATTTTTCTGATATCCACATGAGATTTTTAAAAAATTGCTCTAAATTATTTTATATACAAGTTTGAAAAACCATATGTATCCAAGTTTCATAATAAAACTCAAAGCGGTAAAATTATGGGAGGTAATGGGTTAATGTTCTTTTATAGTTTAATACGCACAAACAAGAAGATTTGGTCCGCAGATATCAAGAAACGTTAGATTTGGGCCAATTAGGTCTACTTTTCTTCAATATACTCAGGTGAACCAAACTGTTTTATAGTAAACAGCATTTTGTGCCTCAAGTCTATTCAAGGAATAAACTCAAGAACCTCAAATGGCTGTTAAACCACGCATTCAAATTTCAATCTCTACTTTTCATGAGATGGCCAATCTTATGCACAGTTAAGTTTTAAGTGAACGATGACACAGTAAATTTTGTGGAAAGTTTTATTATGTTTCTGTTTATACTTGCAACGAACCACACGACCATCGGGGTTGTTTGAATGTGCCAAGGTTACTTTCGCGCGGATTTCGGATGAGGATGGTGTAATCGTCTGCCAGTGAATATTCCCGGTGCTCCTTTTTTCCTTCTTTCCCCATCGTTGACTTCGTCCTCCCTTTATCGTTGTGGTGTCATACGGTATGTCCGTCTTGTCAGAACCTCCATGGTCCTCACCCGCAGTTGCTCACGGCGCTGTACACCCCACCGGCGTCTACATGCTATTCCGTGAGCATCCCTCACTCTAACCGAATCAATTCTGGATAACCTTGACATTATTTTACATCGATATCCCCCTTTTCTACTTACTTCTGCTATTGAAATAGTAGACGTTTTATATAACTGGCATGATATTCTTCTTCAATCTTATTCATTTGTGCCTGCGGTGACGAACAACCCCTTTAAATGTTGTATCCGGAGATCTGAACAAGCGATATACTCCTTTAGGTGTGTGCCAACCTCAACGTTTTCGTACGCTACCTTTTCTAACAAGCGATGGCTGCTAAGGGCACAGCTTTTTTGTGGAAGCTGACATGGAAGATGCCCGCCCTCAAAAATCTTACCCAACATAGTATGAACCCATAAACTTTGATAGATTTTGAAATAGGCGTTAGATAAAGTGCGGCACAAGGGATAAAATTAGATAATGAGGAATTGCGAAGGTTGATGGAATAAAACCTTTGCCTAAAGCTTAAGGAAAGGTCTTTTTTCGACAGAATTTCAAATTCAATGATAATGACGAAATAGCAGGGAGTTTGAATGCTGCAGAGGAAATCGCAAAACCACATTTGAACTATTTTTTAAAGACCTTCATTGATACGCTAATGCTGAGAGCAAAATAATCCAGGTGGTGCGTGATCAGCCTTAAACGCTAAAGTCAATGCAAAATAGTCATGGAAAAATATATGGCGTGTACCACGTAGAAAGCAAAAGTAATCGTGTTGTGTGATACGCTTAGGCGTTATTCACCTGTTATTGCTGAGCGACATCAAAAAAATGAGTACTTTAAGCCCAGCTCGGAATAAAAAAAACAGCCGATGCGTAAAAGCGAAGACTTGTCTAGCACAGCAACGAATAATTTATTGCCCTGAGTTCATTTTCAGAGAAAAGAACAGCAACAAAAAAGGTAATAGGCATTAATTAACTGCAAGTGACACATTTCTAGACGCGACTGCACGTGACTGCGTAGGATTCTGTACGTCGACACCAAATCGATGCATCAATATATTGAGTTCTCATCCGTGGTCCGGGCTTCAAGCAATTCACAGTTCGTCTTGTTTGGGGCGTAGGCGAGTATCTTGGTGGCTACCGAGGCTGCCACGTTTTTTACAATTGGGTCAAATGAATCATTTCAATCTCCTAGACCTCTTCACTTACGGTTTAATATGTTCTCACACCCCTAAAGTACTTCGAAAACCACAAACTCCGACACACTATTCTAAAGGCCTGCACAAACGGGTGCTCGCCACAGCCTAAGCAGTGGCAATCCGTTTAACAAAGCCCCCTATCTTATGTCAAAAGACACTAGTGGCCGCAGTCTGCTTACCTTGGCCTACTAGCCCAGTGAATACCGTGTCGTCAGGACATACGCCCTCACCAAATACGCACGCCGACACTGAGAACAC